GGATCAGGTGCTCTTGACAAACCCAGGGAGCAGAATTATCAAAGCAAACATTCATTTTGGATCGAATTCAGGAGAGAAAAGAGCTAAAGGAAACAAGTGGATTCCTCATTGCCTCAAACATAGAATCATAGCCTAGGTTGGAATGGACCTTCCAGATCATCTAGTCCAACCATCAACCTAACCCTGACAAAATCACCATTAAACTATATTGATGTTTTAAATAGAAGGAAATACTATTTATTCTGTCTTCTGCTTGTCTTCTGTACAACCACTTAAAACAACAGGGTGCTTTTCTTTACATTTTCTTGGATTGGGCTGAAATCTCTGACACATGTAGGACTTCAACCACACACAGGGTCAGGATAATTACGAACAGTAATATGCTTTACAGGAATCACGTTTTGCACCATGACAGAGTCCTCTGGTAACAGATAGATTTTTTTCAAAGATTTGGAGAAATAGTTTGATCGCCCTTTGTGGGGTGTCGGAAACTTTCTCATCAGCTAAAACACGACATCTTCTTTCCTGAACATAAGTGCAGTTGGGTTTTGCAATTGGCTCACGTGCCGTAGGACGGTGCTAATGCCAGAAGGGTGGTCCCACCATCGTCTTCTTCCCTGAACATAAGTGCAGTTGGGTTTCACAATTGGCTCACGTGCCGTAGGACAGTGCTAATGCCAGAAGGGTGGTCCCACCATCAGTCACGCTCCCAGCAATTTGAGTCCTGGCTGAAAATTACATTTCACTTCAATTCATGCAGGGTTAATTTTCAGCTTGATCAGAGAATTTTGTGATTGCCAGTGTCAACAGAAAGAGAGAGGCTGTATCCTGCAGACAGGTCAAGGAGAGAGAAGAAAATTGCCCTTTTCCCTAACAGTCGAGTCAAAGATTAGCTTACAGCGACCGTGAAACTACAGGCTAAGGCACAGAACAGACAAACTCATGGCCTGAAAGTCCCCATCCCTCTATACACACAGCACAGAGGTGTCAGCAGAACCATCACCAGGGAGCAATTTGAAGAGGTCAGGCTTATATCTTAAAAATTGGGAAGGCTCTGAGAATGGCCCCACAGCACAAACCCGCGGCAGCACAGAATCTGCCCTCAACCTCTGTAAACTTTAGCAAAATAAAATTACATCCAAAGTGATTAGCCATAAGATTCTTTTGCCATATTTTCAGCATATCACATTCATTCTCTTTTTCTGTATCAGTGACAAAGAAGCAACCACCTCAAGCACTTACAGAGCTATAGAGAGCAATCCTCTTATAGATAAGATCATTCCTAGGAGAGAAGGAATGCTGATCTGTGCGTTAGAGGCTGAGCAGAGATGACAACCATATGTCACTTGGCAGAAGTCGGGGGTTTGTTTGTTGCTTTTTCAGTATCCCAAATGTAATGAATTATAAAATAGAGCCTAAATTAATAGTCAAGGAGGACTTTATCAGGGCCCCAGACTTAGGAGATGCTCATCTGGGAGAATCTCTTTCAACTCATAGACTGTTTGACTTGATCAAAGGTTCTTGCTTTTCAATAGACTTCTGTATAATACTCAGACTCGAGAGCTTCACAAAACAAGAGCCAGGCTGCCTCCCAGAGAACACCCGAGTCCCAGCGAGATGTCAGTCTCATCTTGAAGGCAGGAGGTCCAACTGTTCGGAAAGCAGGAACTTTTGAATATTAATATGCTCATACAATAACAAATGATAGGGCTGCCAGTCTGCACTCTTTAGCAACTTGGTACCATCCCCATTTATATTTCAAAGGTCTTTAACTCCAATGGAATGTATATATTTGATTTTTAATGATACTAGAACAATTAGACAAGTCCATTATTTCTGATGGGGGTAGGAGGGCTTAAGTGGCATTAACTCAACTTCTTCAGAAAATATAAGACAATGCCACAGACAAAACTTTATACTTTTCAGTAAGCGCTAAGTGCAAGAAGTCCAGCATTCACTGGTTATATGAGACACTGGATTCACCCAGAGTGTGCTGAATTTAATGAATAAGAAATATTCCTAATTTATCTGCTTAGCAAAAAATTTCTCTTTGACAGACTGAGTCCTGCAGTCCCATAAGGCTGGCTAAATAAGACTTGCTGTGGGCACACAGCTGTACCTCAGGAAAGGAGAAAAATATCACAGGTCAGAGAGATAGCTCTCACTTTCAGTATGTTTAAGCAAAACACATTTCCCATAGCAAGCCAAAAGCCAGGAGTAGATAGAAATCAAGGCAAAGAAACAATCCTACCTTAAATTAATTCTACCTTAAAGATCTTAATTCTAGCTTAAAGATCTTACTGCTTAACATTCAAACTCGAAAGGGAATATCAACCAACCATCCCTATCCCAGAAAACAAAGAAACTTGAAATTAGGACCTTGTGGTTTAGGTTTTCCTTAAATGAAGAAAGGTGGTAGAGCCATGATGAGCTTTGCAAAGTTCTTGAACAGAGATTAATTAGCATTAAGCAACCATAAAAATAGAAAGGTAAAGAAACCTGTCCAAGTCTGGGGATGCAAAGTCTTCAGAGAAGAAGATGCTCATCTTCTCTGTGGATAAAGTGATGCTCTCACTTTTGGCAAATTATTACAGAAGAACCATTTGGAAATTCTAAGAAGCCAAGCTCAGATAGAGGTTTAGGTGTGTTTACACCAAGCGCTGTGGTGCCACACAAATGTCTGAGCCAGTTGTGGGCAACTGGGGTATCTACACGGCGCAGGTTTGTGCGGAGATATTCGCTCCCATCTCCAAAGGAATACAGCCCCATTAGCGTGGCTCTGTGCCTGGGCTAATTAGGTGATGTTTCCCCAGTTGCCAGAAATCAAAGAGTGAATCATACATCTGCCGGCATCCAACCTGCTTCTGAAAGCACAGACTGCAACTATTTTGAGCCTCGGTTCTGTGAGAATGCAAGGTGAATATAAAGACATAATGCCATCATTTTACTTTGTTTTAAAGCCAGAAGGAATCATAAATTCATCTGATCTGACCTGTTATCACAACCACTACACTTCATCCATGCAGCGCTGTGTCCAGCACATGAATTTCAGTCAGCCTAAAGCTCCAAAGTCCCTTAGAGACCGATCTATTGTCCATGTGCCACAGGCAGAGCCCAACCACTCGCTGTCAAAGCCAAGACTACGGACTGATGACTGATTAGGTGGTAGTTGCCCAGATTATTTCAGCAGAAATCCATTCCTCATACTGCTCTGGAAGCTGAAGAATCCTGGCCATTAGTTCCCAGCTCTGGCAATCAGGATCAATCCCAATGTGTGAGCAAGACACATGAACCAATTATCTAGGAATACGATTCTCTGCCGTATCAAAACAACCAGCCCATTAGGAAGCAGCCAGACTCTGGTGATGGCCAATCTCTTACAATCCAAAGGAAAAAAAAGAACAAAAAAACCCTGAAAAACTGCCACTAGCAGGATTCCTGACCCCAACAAGCGAACCAAAGAGACCCTGAAGCATGATTTGAAGATGGTCACTGCCTTCATGCAGAGCTGCAAGTATTTCAAGGATGGTACAGACAAATTGCTCTGAACACAACTATAAAGGAAGGAGTTGAAAAGGGAGGCTCATAAATCACCAGATCCCAGTCTAGGCCACCGCACTCGACACACAGACATAGAATTTCTTCTCATGACTTAAATCAAGTGCCTCTTTTAAAATGATAAATGATCTCATCTTAAAGACTCGAAAGGACGGTGATGGAAAAAATATTCCGAAGTTTAATTACACTGGGAGCTGTGAAACTCTTTCATTACGAGGTAGAACTTTTCAATCTTCAGCTTCCAACTACTGGAACTTGTTAGGGCTTTCCAGTGGTTGGGTCATGAGACTCACTACCAGCTATCTGCTCCTCACTTAAACACCCATAAAAATTACCTGATCATAGTGTTACATCTCTTCAACTAGTTTATTCACAGCACCACCCCAGTTTTCTAAGCTCTACATCCTTTTTCTGTCCCTCCTTTGAATCCCCAGCGATATTTCTGTAGAATTCCTGGTATTAAACACCTAAACTGCACTAAATATTCAGAGATTTTACTGACTCTGCATAGAGAAAAAAAACTTTCTTAATCCTGACTGAGGCTTCCCTTTTCATACAGCAGGAGCTGCAATAGCCATTTTTGTCTTTGCGTTGTGCTCTGGGCTCGCTGGAAGACACGTATCCACAACAGCCCCGGGATCCTTCTCGGAGCTTCTCTGTTTCCCAGGATGGGATCACATTTTGAAGGTATCATCTGCATTTTTTGTTCCCAGATGTAGTAACAAGTGGCATAATTACGATAGCTGTTAAAATATTGAAATGAGTTACTGCGTGCAATATTTCTGGGAAATGGTAGAAAGGATGATGTTTATTGAAACTATATAAACATGTAAAATGCTTTCTCAACACAGTTTCCCATTTATGTTTGCACAGATGTGGGTAATGTCATCACGAAGCCTCTTCCAAGAAAGATAAATTCAATCAAAAGCTTCGAATAAGGCAAATAGCTAGAATGCTCTGCTGGTGCCTCGACACACCATCTCTTACCTCTTTTTGTTCCTTTTTTCTAATCATAAAAGATATTCACTGCCATTAAAAAATATAAAAAACAAATACAAATTTTTTATGAAGGATAAAGGTCCTCGGCACAAATAAAATGACCAGCTCTGAAGATGCGAAGAAATATGCTTTAATTTCAGAGACAAAAGATAGCATTTTGGAAGAAATTGTCATAATCAAAGTTGAAAAAAAAAATTCTATTGTCTCCTGAGTCTCTCTGTGGGAATTTTCCCAGCACAGACAGCTGTAAAGGAGGAGGGGTATTGTGAGTTTCTGTACTCTCATTCTCTCTCTTCCTCTCTTTCTCTGTCAATAAATGTCTGCAATCATATTCTTGAGCTCCAGTGTGATTTCAAGGTTCATCTCTTCCATGCAGCTCAAACACTAATTATCCCAGCTGTAATTAGTAAGATAATTAAATACTGGCTCACTCATCACTCTACCTTGTGTCGGGTCATGATTCTCCCAGAAGACCTTGAGCAGTTTCTCAAAGCTGATGTTTTCTGGCTGATATACTACTCGTACAGCCTCTGTGTGGCCAGTTTTACCTTAAAAGACAAAATAAATTCAGATGTTATTAGTGAGAATTAGCTAGTGCACGTCTAGTTTTTAATATCTGTGATTCAAAACACAATACTTTGCCTACCTTTTTTTTATTTTTTCCCCCAAAGGTGTTTTGATTTATACCATCATTTTATCATTATTTTATCATTTGATTTATTACCATCATTTATACTTAAGCCCTTCTACACAATATTTTATACACAAGATGTTTGCTAGTTTGAACAAGGCCATCATGAAATAAACTATCCAGAGAGGCAATAAGGTAAGTCAGTGGTGTTATTACAGTAGTTTGTCAGCTTACAGGAAAAAAAAAAAGAATAGTTCTTAATATTTGTAACTGACTAGTAAAATATTTGAAAATATTCTAAATATCACATTAAAATATGAAAACTTGTATATCTAAGTTTTCTTGACAGTATAAATCTTTGTTTCCATGAGATAAAATATGGATAAAATGGTTGTGAAAACAAATTTCAAGGGTGTGTTTACACAAGATCACACAAATAATTTCAAATTATTTCACATCATCTGAAGCACCAATACCAAAGGACCTAAAAAAGAGAAAAAGAGAACTTGACTGAACTCCAGATTCAGCAGATGAAGTTCAAGGAATATCAGCAGGTGCTACAGCAACATTAAAACACACTAATCCTATTTTTCAACATCACAGGCACAATTTTTTTCCTTCTTTATGTGTCTAATCACTCACATGAAGGAGTCCACGTGAAGGATCTGGCCTCATGATTCAATACAATTGTAATTAATAGTTAGATTGATGAGTGCTCAGAGATCTCAGGGTGAAAGTCCGTTGCACTGAGTGCTATGCAGATGTTTTATAATTTATATTTTATAAATATTGTGTATTTCATATTTTATAATTTTTAAATTTAAGCATATTTTTGTCATAATATATGCATGAATGGGGAAAAAAACCTTATCTTATTCTTCAGTTAAATCATAATAAGTAACTACTAAAAAAAAGTGAACTGGATCTGCCTTTTGGTAGGGACGTTATAAGCTCCTTGCCCACACTAGACCAGGGCAGTTTTTAATATTGTATCAGCATAAACTTCAGATTTACTCAACTGACTTCAACAGAATTGTTGAATTTCATGCAGTGGAACAACCGAGTGAATCTGGCCCAGTGATGGGTTCTGAATTAGCTGTCACCAAACAAGAAAAATCAGAGTCTATGAGTAACTGAGGAGTGTTCAGCAGAAACACCAATTTAGCACCCAGAGAAATTTTAATTAAAAAAAAAAAAAAGTAGAAAGAAATAAAAAGGATGCTAGGATACATTAAACAGACATAACAGGGAAAAGGATGACAGCATTATATCAGCTAATGGGGCACCTGAAATGAAGAAAACCTAAATGAGGCACAGAGGGGTGGGCTAGCTATTAAAAGGGATTTAAAAGACTGGGATTAAATTTAGTCTAGAATGCAGAGGAGTAAAAGCGGACACATCTGGGATATCTGTGATGAAAATTTTGATAAAATCAAATTGATTCCTATCTAGTGTGCTTCACAATACAACAAAGACATGCTCACTGAGACTAAAAGACAAAAATGTACAGTTTTCATGTAACCCGTAGCTAAAACCACGCCATCCTGTCCACCAGGATACTGTCCAGGCAAACGATGGCCCAATTCCTCTCTCACATTCCTCGCCTATTGAAGTCCATGGAAGCAACTCATTATCTGAAGGCAAATTCTGATGGCAAGTTAAGAGAAAGGGATCATACATTTAGTAGAATAAAAATACAAGTTACAGGTAATTGGCCTAATAATAAAGTGAAATGGTCTTTCTATATTATGGAATGAACTGACGGCCAGCTTAGATCAGGGATGGAATTTATTCCAGATTTCACAGTTTAATATGGACTGTCAGTGAAGATAATGGGGTTTGGCTATTAGTTGAAGCCCAGGTCAGGAATTTTGCTGTGGCTTGAGATAAAGAAGGAGAGCAAATGGACATCAGTCTGTCCAGCTCTCACAAGCCAACATCAGATAACTAAGAACAGATTAAGGAGTGGCTTCTGACTTTATTTCTTTTTTATTATCGTTTTTTAAGCCAATGTGAACCTCACAAAAAGTTCTTATCACTCAGGAGCAAATTGCTTGTCTGAGATGACTAGCTTTAGATCACAAGCGAGTTTCTTAAACAACTTCAAAACAACAGAGGCATTACCTTTCCTCTCAATTGAAGCAGCAATTACATCTTGTCAACACTGTCTGCTCTGACTAATCCAGAAGTTCAAAGAATCAGCTTTCTTCTTTCCCTCTGAATAAGGAAATAATGGTGCTACTCCGAGAACTATACCCTGACTTCAAGAAAAAAAAAAAGCCTCAGATGTGTGGCTAACAGACTGTTAGAACCTAGGGCGTATTTAAAATCAATATTCATCCTCAGAGGAAAAGCAAGGAGGAGATGCCGCCGGTCCTATCAGATTCACCTCTAATTTTCCTCAAAGCCTTTCCAAAATCTGGAGGATTTTCTTTCAGCATGGGCTATTTCTACGGAGAACAATCTCAGTCATTTGTGGTGAGCACTTCTCACCAATTTTAGAGGAAACCATTCCAATCAACTGGGTACAGGTGAGCAAACAAAGAGGTAAAAGGTTCCATGTGGGATAGAGTAAAGAAAAGATTTCCTAGAAGAAGCACAGCGAGAAAATGGTATTAGGGGACAGCAAAAGAAAAAGACCAACCTCTCCACAGGTGCAAAATGCCTCACAAGAAGGAATCAAAAGACACCACAAGGCTACCCTAAGCAGCACCTGGAAACTACCAGCTCATCAGTGCCAAATGTGACTCACCTGCAGCCAAAGGGGCAAAAGGGAACACAAATTGGGCTCTCCCTATTTATCCTCTTATTTCATTTTTTGCCTTAGGCTTCAGTTCAACCATGAAAACAGAATAATCACATTTCACTTTGGGTTTCATACAGGTACTCTTTATCAGGGAATGTAGTGATAAGACAAGGGGTAATGGTTTTAAATTGAAAGAGGGGCGATTTAGATTAGATACTAGAAAGAAATTCTTTATTGTAAGGGTGGTGAGAGCCTGGCCCAGGTTGCCCCGAGAAGCTGTGGCTGCCCCATCCCTGGAGGGGTTCAAGGCCAGGTTGGAGGGGGCTTGGAGCAACCAGGTCTGGTGGGAGGTGTCCCTGCCCAGGGCAGGGGGTAAAACTCAATGATCTTTAAGGTCCCTTCCAACTCTAACCATTCTATCATTCTATGTGGTACAGTAGAGCACAAAAAGAACAGAGCAGGCATCAAACGAGCTAATCACTCCTCTGTATTGTAAAAGAAAATCATCAAAATATTCCTAATCAAATATTTTTTGTACGATTTCTTAAAATGGAGAGGGGGGTAATCAAAGAGAAACAATAAACCCACTTGTTCTCAAAAAAGCTGCATGTCTTTTAACGAGAAATTTAGCAGGCTAACAGTGAACAGCTGAAACGATTTAAAATGATCAGTGATAGACGCTATTCTTTCAGTGATATTCAGCTCTTCACCTTAGTGCCTCTTGCAGAATGTCTCATGAAAGGCCCATTTATATTAAGTCAGAGAGTGATGGTGTCCTCAGTTCACCTATTGCTTTTAATTAGCTGATTTTTAATATTCTCCAGCAAAACCATGCTTCACATTAAATTCCAGAAGTTTTAACAAGTGTGAACTTTTCTTTAACAAGTATGAACTCCTCCCAAAAAAAGCTCAAAGTTTGAGCCGTGTTTTTTAAATAATGTATTGAAACACTAAATATAATTTCATTTGCTGCTAACTGTGCAAATAGAAATCCTTTATTTATAGGTGCCATTATCGGATTTCCAGTTCTGGTGCTCAGTTCTCCTTCAGCTTTAGAAGGAGCTTAGCCATTGAAGAACCTCGCTGCAGATGATAAGACTTTATTACACCGTGGCAGAGAGGGCTGTGTGCCAACAGCAGATTGTCTGTTTATCCTGGATCCATTTCCCACTTAGAAAACACAGCCACTCTCAGAGGATTAGCTACAGTGAGCTCTTTCAGCGGGGATTCAAACTCTGGCAAAAACGTTCCTGTAAAGAGCAGGAGAAAAAGACATCTGAGTGACACCTCAGTGCTCCTTTCCCGCTTTTTTTTCTTCCTAATAGTGTTTAGATTTTCACCTTCTTAATCATCTCCCAGGTGAGTTCCCAAGCCAGCGGATTAGAGAAGCGAACTCATTCTTTTTAACTTGCTGCATCCCGTAAGCTTTTAATTATTCGCCGCAAAGTGGAACAACTTCAAAGGGCTGGCTCCAGAGCACCTCACCGGTGAACACCCAGCGCCCAGCAGCTACAAGACATCTTTAGGTAGTCCAACCCTGGGTGAATTAAGTTATAAAATTCAAGCAGTGACAAAATTATTCCTGCCTGCCCCACTTCTTCACCCAAAAAAACACTTGCATCTCGTTACCTGCTGAAATAAAAGGCCTAAATCTAGTAAATGTCAAAATATAATCAAAAGAAATAGGTGGCAGATCTTCAGTTGATGCACATTTCAGAGCTTATTGATTTTGGAGCTAAAACAATTAGTGCTGGCTAAAGCCTAGGCCCTAGTGAATATGCAAAGTATTACATGAAAAAGTAGTAGGGCTTTTGAGCATCTGTTTCTCCAAACCAGCCTGGGAATTTTTATTATGTTGTAGTTATCACTAATAAAATTTCCAGTTTCATCCTAAAATAGCAGTGATTTAAATAAACAATTAAAGGATTCAGCACTAACACACTGAGAAGCCAAATTTTGGGGATGTACTTAACTTGTATCTTTCCACCTTCAAAGTAGTGAAGCAACCTGGATGGGGCTTTGGGCAACCTGGTCTGGTGGGAGGTGACCCTGGTCAGAGCAGGGGGGTTGGAACTGGATAGTCTTTAGGGTCCCTTCCAACTCAAACCATTCTATGATTCTAAAGAAGGGTCCCTTATGCCAATTTTATGGGACCTCCTGCCTAACACAGA